ATATAAATATATATATATATATATCATTATTTTGCAGTATGAGCCACTGTGACTCACAAGAGTAGCACAAACTTAGCCTTGATATTCAGATTGGAAAGATATTGTGATTTTCTGATTGGAGTAAGAAAATATAAGAAAGGCTCAAGGGGGCAAAAGCAAATAAAAAACCCAGGAGCAAGCTTAATCTCTACAATGGGCATGGCAGAAAGCTATAATAATTGAATGTGTATTTGAATTTTATGTTAAATCATTAAAATAAAATAAAATATCAGCTAATATGATTTAAGTAAATATTTATACTTTTGATCAAAATCAATGTAAGATGATTTGTGCTTGATAAAAAAAATATTTTAACTATAAACGTAGTTTTAGGCTGAAAACATTTCAAATATGATTACTTTACTTACATTAATTAAATAAATTTGACATAAAATTAGTTTTATAAACATACGTACGTTTACATGCAAGGAAAAGGAATGCTGGTGAAGACAATATATATATGTACATGGACCACTTGTAAGTGAACTTTGAGTTTTCGAATAACTCAAGGCTGCACGAATGCACGATAGTGGCACACAATGTGTTAGTTGATTAAGACATTAATTGACTTAGCTTTTGAGTTGCAAAAACAATATGTGAAGGTGGGTAGCTAGCCAACCCAATTTCCAATACTATATGGTACGTACATCAGAATATGCTTCCCACCCTTATTCTGAATATGTAGTCGTGTGCCACAGTTTAGTGGGGTTGGTTTATACATTAGATCCCATCGACCCTAAATGCACAGGTGGCTAGGCTCATTAATATGACCTTGGCTATGCAACCATTTATCTATTCATGCAAAAAGGCATTAATTGTGAACTATATAGTTCTAACCAAATGCCACAAATTATACACATAAGATTATTAAATTATGGGGGTGAGACCGTGAGATATTCATTTTAAGTGGCAGAATGACTTTGCTAACACGCTCAACTGAGATTAAGTTCTTATTAGTGTGATTCGTCTAAAAAAAACAAATCCACATATTAGATGTTCATTTTAAGAGATAAAGTGATTTTGTTGATGATGATTCATTTGAGATTTATTTTTCGTGGCTATAATTTGTTTTTTTTTATTTTAAATTTGGTGTTCATTTTATATTGTACTGGGAAAACATAATGCCTTACCTCTTGGTCAAGACCAACACTAGACACATTCCTTCAACCTTGGCAATGACTGAAGGGTAATCAAAACAAAGGTAAGCCACCATCAGAGTCGAGTACTCCTTCAGGCTTAGCATAAGTCGAAGGGTAGTCAAAAGGAAATCAACACCACGAAACTTAGACAAAGGCATGACAGGGCTCCAATACGAGCTAACACTCAGTTAAGAGCCAAGCCGAATACTCCCTCTAGCTAAAAGTCCAATCGAAGGGGTACTCGACACCTCATGAACAAGGGAGAAGAAATTAAACAGTAATTGCCACGTCCAACTAGTATTAAGGCCAAATTAAGGGCTGGAAACCTTAATTACCCATATTTGAAGACAAAAAGTCTATTAGACTCAAATACGTTACTATAAATATATGTATGATAAGACAATAATATATACGATCATTTATTACTGTAGTTACTTTTGTTAGTACCGAACACTTACTTAAGTGTCAAAGTATCTTAGGTACCTCTCCACCACTTAGAGTGAAGTTACCGTCAATGTGTTGGGTCCAACACACCGGTTGTGAGAAGCATCGACAAAGAGTGTTCCATACAGGAACATATATAAACTTGAAATGAGTTAAAGACGTTGTGCCATAACGTTAACCCATAATGGCTTTTACACCTAAACAAGAAGCATCTTTCCGCGTTTAAGGAGTTTCAGCTTTTTGCATCGGATTTGTTTGCATCTGTTGTATCAAACATTTGGTATGCTCGTGATCATGAACTTAAAGAACTGTCCATGTCGAATATTCCCTTTTTCATTCAAGTTAACAAAGTGCATTATGCCATGAATAATGAAGAGGCCATTTTACGCTTGATATTGAGAAATGAGAAGAAGGAAAAAAGTTGGGAAAAGAAATAATTCACTGTCCTTGTGTTGGGGGAAAATCCGATGCCGAAAACAACTCATTGCGTAAAGGAATGAACATTCAACTAAGGAGATATCCCGGGGACAAGGGGCAACCAAGCTTAAGTTCTGTGGGTCCCTTATCATGAAAAAAGCTTGAGTTTGCCAGAAATCACTGCTGAAAAATAAAATCTAAATAAACATAACAAAGTTATTCTGTAAATCTATGTAGTTTTTCAATTTTTTTAACTGAAGAATTTTATGATATAAAAGCTTTTAACAAATCTTCATATTTTTATAAATTTTAAATAAATTCTATTCATGTGATTAATTTTGCTAAATCATAGTAAATTGCAATATCCATGCGTCTACCTATCTATCTGCACACTATATCCGGTTTATTAATTAGTTGGTTTATTTTACAATAATATGATTGGATTGAGAGGGTTTTGAAGTAATGAATGTGTATAATTTATTATTAAATTTAGTCTTATATATGTTTTAATCTTTGTAAGGTTATTTTGATTTTAGTTTTGTATTTTTTTTCACCCTTTTAAAATTTGGAATAAATTTTTTTCAGTTTTGTAAAATGATTAAATTTTGTTTTGGATTTATGTTCATCTTTAATCACCAATGTTATTTTAAGATAAATAAATAATATTTATTTTAAAGAATTATAAAAAAAAAAGTAAAAGGGACACATGTCGACATAATATTACAAAGTTAATAAAAATCACAAAATAATAAGACTAAAAATAATAATTCTAAATTTTAAATCAATAAAAAAAAATTATAGAGACCAAAA